CTTCAAGAATAGATGCCAAAGGTTTTTGTTGCCAGTGAGTAAGTGAGTGTAGAGAGAGTACACGCTCAATCTCCTTCAGGACATTCGAAAGACCTGTCACCCTTTATTAAACTATTAGCCGAGGGCCATAAGTATGATTGAAGAACTGACTCGTTTGAGATTGCTTTAAATTGCTTCGGCGCTTCGACAAACCGGTCGCGAATTTCGTTAGCTAGCTTCCATACAGCGATACAATCGCCGATACTATAGCCGAAGCTCATTGTGATGACAGGTACAACTTTATTAGAGCGAAAGATGGGTCGGAGCAGAGTAAAAGCGTAGAGATGAAATTTGTTCACGAAATTTGTTAAATGTCGTCAAATCTCAGCCTCACTACGTCTCGTGACCTAGGCAGTCTTTTAGGCATTACTACATAAACCACGCCGCGCGCATATGCATGGCTTTATTTAGCCGGTACAAACTAGATTTGAAGCTACGTTTAGGAGATAAAGAACGTAGAAGATACAAGTAATTAAACATTTTAATATATATAGTAATAATACCTTAATTAGCTTCTAGTTCGCTAGACAAGGGGATTCGAGGCCAGAAGTGTGAGAGTGCTACGTAAGAAGTAGACAAGTTAGAGCTAGAAGTAGGGCTGAGGAACGATGCGCCAGTACTACAAAGGGTACTAGTTACGCGGATGATATGTACCTGTTACACGACAGAATAGAGAGAATCGTTCCTCGTTTCTTAGTATTCCACCCCGCCAGTTGTCGTCTTGGAAAATCAGATGTTTTTGTGTTACAGTGGTGACGTGCTGCCTCTGTTAGGTGATAACCGGATATATATTCTACCGAGGTCTGAGCTGATACCACATTAACCTCCGTTTGCTTGATCCTCAACTTCACCTCAGTTCTCAACACAACTCGCACTCAATCTGCAGAGGCATCGAATGGTGATATCAATCAATTCTAGCTTTGAACTTAGTCCCCTGACATTAATAGAATCATTTCGTACACAGAACAATATCAAAACAGTCTTTCCTCACCTCAAACGCGACTACCTCAAACGCAACTACCTCTCACTTTTTCTACACCATGGGATCAATGGCTGGAAAAGGCCCTCTTTCACTCGACACTCTTCGCTTTCGGTTCACTCAGAATGGAACGCCTGCTACCCATGCTGTGCGTCTTCATTTTTCCATTTTGAATCCGAAATACTTACACAATATAGTCTGACCCACATGAATTACTTCTCTTATTTGATACTATCGGCCGGCACGTTCAACGAGTTTGCAA